CCTGCTTTGAAGTCATTTCTATGGTCTGTCTACGCCATCTCTGATTTCCACCTTGTAATATCAAAAGTGTTTTTTCCTCCAAAAGATGCATATGTGCTTCATTTTATTATAGTATAAATATTACTCATGGGGGTCGGGGGGCGCTGGAGAGATGGCTCAGTGGTTAGGAGCACTCGATGCTCTTTCTCAAAACCAGAGTTTGGTTCCCAGCACCCATGTGAGGTGTCTCAGAACCATCTGTAACTCCAGCTCCAGGGGATCTAATGTCATCTTCTGGCCTCTGCAGGCAACTGCACTCATGACACAAACACACACACACACACATCGTTAAAAATGAAAATAAATCTTAAAAAATGTACTCATTGGAAGATTTTTTTATTCAAAACTACAGGTGAATGGCATACAACTGTTACCAGTCAGCTGGTTGGGTCTCTAAACTCTACCTACCTGGGTAGACAAGGCAAAGCTTTTTCACTGTTGGTAGTCCAGGCCTTGAACAGTCAAGGCCTTAGGGTCTGGACTGGCAGACACAGGCTTGTAGCTCCAAGCAAGAGGGCTCTCGGATGTGATGACTCAGGACGGAGGCTCACTGCTCTGGGCTTCTGTCACTAGTAGCCTCGGCACTTGGCAGCTATTGTGACCTCGGCTTCCGACAGAGGGAGTGGCAGCATCCAGCAGCACTGGATGGAGTCTTCTTCTAGTGTCAAGGCTCTTAAGCCTTGAGTTCTGGGCCCCCCAGTCCTATAACGACAGCTAGTGTTACAGCTTTCCAATCTAGAGTATCAGGACCACCGGCACGGACAGAGGCTGGTGCAGTATTCCAACAGTCAGGCTCAGGGTGCCTGGGACGCTTGGCGTTTAAGGTGTGCGTCTCCCTAGAACTGAGGCCCAGAGGTCGTCTTCCCTGGCTCTTCACCGCTTCCCGCCTTCTCGCTCCTCTGCCGCCCTTCATGTCTCTGTTTAGCCTGCTCCCTCCCCCTCGTTTCTGTCCTGGCCGTTTTCTGCAGCTCCTCACTTCAGGAGGGCTGCACAGAAGGTTATCTATTGGCTGATATAAAAAGTGAGCCAAGCAGCAGTCTACTTATAGAGCCAGAAAGTGTGTGTGTGTGTGTGTGTGTGTGTGTGTGTGTGTGAGTGAATTAACCCACCTATCTCCACAGAGTCTCACGCGCAAAAAAAAAACTCGCCCAC